AAAGCAGTAAGATCAAAGAATCGTCAAAGATTATGGTTAACGTATGCATTGCTTATGTCGAGCGCACTTACTGCAGTGGTTAGAAATGCTTCTCGTCGCACACAAAGTTGATGGCTCGATCTCGCGCTTACGGCTCACAAAACCATCCATCTCTCAGGGATCGGTAAATTGGTACTAGATTGGTCTGAGACTTGTCTGGGAGGATACGCAGCACTGACTCGATACAGCGGGAAGTCATCGCGAGTCATTGGAAAGGCCAGATATGCATTCAATCACTTCAAAAGCGGTTAAGAATTGAAGGCGAATATGGCGCATCGCTCAGAGATTGATCAACGCCGAGAGCTTTATCCTTTATCCTTTATGTGCTTATGCATTGATGCAAGTAGTTTTATTTCCTAGTTATATCTCCTGAAATGCGGGAGACAAGTCGGCATAGATTAGGGACAATGAGAGCTCATCATCTTTGTCGAAAGTGTTCATATTCTGTAAAATCGTTTCGCAGTCAAAAGCAGCAGCATTGAAGCCATCTGTGTGACACTTTACAGCGGTTCAGCTCCTCTGTTTTTCAAAACACCATCTTCAGCGGTCAAAAATCGTTGAACACGTCCCATCTCTTCGAACGGTATCGACAACGAGCTCAAACTATCCTTCAGCTTGCCAGTAAGCTCCCATCTTGTTTCATGGAGCCGAACTTGAACAAATGGAGAGACGAGATTGCAACTTTCCTACATTTAGAAAACAGCGTTCTCTATCAAATGTAAAATCAAGCAAGCATTGTGAAATAATTTCAAGTATTACGAAGACGCATTGAGCAGTTTTCGGGCAACTATTGATCAACTTCAACGGCCATTAAAAAACCGCACGTTAGAGCTGCTCACTGTAATCTAGTCCATCGAAAAATCTTGAAAGCAAAGCTTGTTGTCTCACACTCCAAATTTATTGGTTGTGACGCAAGTTAGCTGTGTATGGCTTGCCACGCACAATCGTAGCAAATGTCAGGTCTGGTGAAGGGGTGAAAGTCATATGGGTGCAGCAAAATCATTGGACAGCAGCGTACAAAGTACAAAAATCTTCAGTTCGCCCCATGAAAAGTGAAATACCGTATAACTCAGAAAAATGGCACTCTACAGAACGATCCGTGCTGAAAGGATTATGTAGGGCTTGTGTGACGATTTGAGGCCCAATTCAAAACAATGAACAGTAGCAATGAGATAGAGTTTTTTGCCTCTTTATCAACTCGGTAATATTTGTGAACTATGTGGTGAACTCTCATCAGTGGAAACTTTAGCGGGTTCTGCAAATCTCAAGCATCTGAACGACTATATTTTTTTTTATTGGCACGCAAAACACTCTCTGTTTTTTGAAGTTTTCGCTTCTGTGGCTGTAGTTGGCAAAGTGAATTTCCCTAGGACTTACTCAAAATTCTTTCGTACTTGTCGTAAATGTCAATATAGGGAATCCTTGCGTTGCCGTTCACGAATCTTGAAATCTCCCAAACAAATATTTAAAATAAATCTCTATAATACTTTTCTCCATGATAGTTCTATTATATATGATTTCAGTCGATGGTTTGCCGTTGGTAACAAAGAATATAATAATACCTTCCAATCCATTTGTTTGAGACCTCGGTTAAAAGTTCAAATTGGTTTTTATATTTTTATATTCTGTTATTATCCTATATAGTCTGTATATTGAATTTTTAAGCAAGATTTCAAACACAATTGATTGGGAGGTATTACCATAAGCTTTATTACCAACCGTAAGCCATCAACTGGAAATCAGTCTAGGTCGCATCATCAAGTGATCTTTCACTTCATCTAGACTGATACATGATCGCCGCCGCTACTATTAGTGATAGGGCTCAACCGTAAGGAATGTCGTACTGATGACGCGTGCGAGTAACGTTAGAAAATTGCGTGTACCACTCGCAATGCTACACGATACCTCTGGAAGACTTAAAACATCCTATAAGACTGTAGCAATCTTAGGTTCTTTGTTGGTTGAACCAGTAGCACTTTGGCACAAAACGGCGGTTACACATTCTGGTAAGATTACTGCGGCCGACAAGTTTGACTTATTTCGACCGGATAAGGAGTTTGTTGAATAAAAGGGTGCAAGAAAGGTTGTGATAATTTCATATTCTATTAGTTTTAGCATGGATACAATGACTTTGTCATTAATTTTGGTAATTTGTTGAATTATCTGTTCAATTCTGGTTCAGACCGTGTTCTGTTCATATATCTATTTTCAGCTGCGCTCAAGTTATGAATCATAAAAATCGACGTATCACAGTAATTAAGTTGCACTAGACGGGAATGAAAACGGCCGACATTATTGGAATGATTGGTCTCAAATCATCAAGTGCTTACACAGCCATGAGACGCTTCAAAGACAGTGATAGGATTAAGGACCGTCCTCTAAAAGGTCGTCCAGCCATCTCGTGTATTCAGAAAATCGGTTGCCATAATCAAAGAAATCCGGAACGTTTGATGCGAAGAGGGACAAAGTAGCTCGGGAGAGCGGATGGAGCGTCCGAAATATTGTCAAAAATAAGCTGACGCAGCGCAGCTGCAAGATCACTCGTGTTCATTTTTTGGACAAAAAGATGAAAGGAAAACAGTTCTCAAAGGCTCGTCGAACGATTCGCTTGATAGGTGGTGTTCATTTGCTGAAAGTGCTTCTTACGCCTGAGAATAAATTCACGGTCGAACCACTCGACAGTCCCCAGAGTCGATTCCAACTTTTCAGTAGGGATAATAGAAATCCGCAGAAGCAAAAATCGTGAGCCGCAGTCATTTTCTGGCCTCTATGATGGCCTGGGCCTGCATCTGCACCATCGCCATGACGCCGTTGGTTTTTATCAATAGAAACACTGCTAGCTATCAGCAGCAAGTTTTACGGGGCTCACTGAAGCCTTGGACTACTAAAAACTTCGATGCCAACGTGTCATCTGTCAAGAGCTGTTTCCATGCTTTTGAGGCAAGGACATCTGACCGTTGAACTCGCCGGTTCTTTACTCAATGGATTGCTCCGTGTAATACATACTAGAGGAGAAAGTCTTGGCTACCCACTACACTACCGCTTGAAACGTCTTTGACACGCGCTCGGGACGAAATTCTTGTGGAAACGTATGCGAGTGTCGTTGGAAATTTTCGCAAGCGACTTCGTAATCGCATATAGACTAAGGGAGGCAATTCTGAGAATTCGTTATGAACTTTTTTATTTATTGTTATAGTCTTCATCGGAGAAACATAATTATTCCTTCATCTGAGCGGATTTATCTGTGTATAAAGTATTTTTCTGTGTTCCATTGTCTGAACAAATTTACCAGAACTGTTTTCGCATCCTGTATATCAAAAACTATGATCATTCGAGAATAAGGGTTGCCAGGATATAGCAAATCTGCAACCTAAATAATCAAAGACCTGAAAAAATTAAGCACAATAATCAGGATTCGGAAACTAGAGTCTTTTTGAATCTTGAAATTATAGCAAATGGAAATTTTCAAATAGTACGATTCTTCTTGAGCACAAACTCACTGAAGTATCATGTTGATTATAGTACGACGGCGTTAACTCCTCCAAATAAGAATTTGAGTCCAAATTTCAGTTCTATAAATAATCTAAGCGGCAACACTCTAGCGAAGAAGTGACCAGAACTTGTAGCTATATGACAAAAAGCACACTAGAAAAATGGTTTGATTCATTCCGGAGAAGGCTCAGCTCAAAATTTTATGTTATCGCTTCGGCTTCAGGTGAATATAAGGTTGCCAAGATTTTTCAAAAACTACGGAACTTCGTAATTTGATAGCCAACTACCGGTGCATACATTCCCTTTTGAACGAAAAAAACAAATTTTGCGATCTTGGAACCAAGCCTAGCATTGTCAGCCACAATAGTTTGCTGGAGATCTAATTAAATTATGCTAGTGTCTCGATGCTTGTTAGGCAAAAAGAAGAGAAAGATAGAATGTCTTAAGCTTCTGAATTCCCTAGCGATGCTACATTTTCACTCGCAAGCTCGTATAGGTAACTGCTTATATATATATGTATATATATACATTTATTTATTTATTTATTTATTTATATATTTATATGTATATGCATTTTTTTAGTACAAGAGCCCTTACCAGACCACATGACAAGTTGGCTCAGATAATAATGAAAGGATCTATTAGAATCTGAGCGTAATAAAGCACTTGAAATAGAGGTACAATATGGTGAAAATTCCAGCAAAAAAGCATCGAGTGCGCAGCATTCTGTGTTAGGTGAAAATTTCACTTGACAAAGAGTGTAAAACGTTCGCTTCGATGACTCTCTGTATGGGAGCAGAGCTCCCGAAAGAACTGACTATAATTATCGAAGACGACGGGTTCTGCTCGACTGACGAGTCTGTAAGGACGAAACATGTGTATCGGGCTGTTCAAGAGCCCTCACCAGACCACATGACAAGTTGGCTTAAATAATAATGAAGGATCTATTGAAATGTGAGCGTGGTCTTAATCACGAAGTAAAGGTATAGTATGTGCATTATTTGAATACCTTTCTCTTACCGTCCGTCGGTGTATCAACTCTGTGTTTTAATTTTTCCAGATAAGTCTGATATTAGTTTGTCGACACTGGATCAATGGAATCACTGTTTAGCCCGGTGTGACAAATCGAGCCAGTAGTTGTTTGAACGCTAGGCACCTTATAGCGCTTTGAACCTTTCATGACTTTTTGTGCAGGTTTCAGTGCATGCGCAAATCAATTGACCTGAAATTTTCGAACACAACAATAGATCGACAACCTCAACTAGTTCGCGACGCCTCAATTGATGACTAACTCGTGAATAAGTATTGATTTGACTATAACTTATTTGCCGGTTTACAGGACGCGATGCAATGAAGGGATAGCCAAGCTGTGATTGGACGGTCCAAAATGGCTTATTATTACGATATGAGCACTATAGAAAATGCCTTGCATTTTTAAAATAATATGATAGTGGTGGCGGTGCGAATGTACCTCGGTGGTGGAGTAGTAGCGCGCGTCCCTGGCATGGTTAGAACACGGGTTCGACTCCCGTCTGAGGTCGCATTTTTTGCTCATCTCTCAATTCTCTTAGGTATGTATGATATGATAGTCACATATCTTTTTATGTGAACTTGTGCATAGTGGGGATTAGTGAAAGCTGAAATGCTGAACTTCAGTTTCCTAGCAAGGAAAGATAACAAGTAATTCTTTTACAGTGTGCTTTTTAATTGCAGTTTTCATTCTATGCACGGCTACTAATCGAATGCTGGTGAGAAATACATACTTTGGAGTTCCTGAACAACATACTTTTGCGCTAATCTAAGCATTTATCAGAGAAACAAACCTGACTCAGGTAAGGGGCTGAGATACTACAAAGACCCATCTCAGCACAACGTTCTACCGTGTTATTCATGTGCTAATGATCTCGTGATGAAAAATTTTAGCCACATCACAATTTCATATAATCTGATAAGGATATAACATGTTTTGAGCTATTGGGTCTAGTGCTATACAGATACCTTTTCATCCTACTCTTTAGTAGCACAGTCCCTCGGTTCAGTTGGTCTCTTGAGGTTATGTCCCCCCATGAAGAAATCGACGCCGAGCATAAATCACTGCGAGTCAGATGATAGAATATCTTTGATAGCAGGCTGTTGAAATGAATCATATCTCTCTATTCGACCGCTTTTTGTAGGCCCCCCTCATAACAAGAGTATCTTGATAATGATAAAACATGTTTTGCGCCGTTCGTCAGGTCTAGGTGCTATACAGGTGCCTGTCTGGTGCTACGATAAGCCACGCAAAGCGATGCCTAGAATATCTGCACATTCAATTATCTCAATGATGCTGCAATAGCCGATTGCATGGCTCATCTGTCCAATAAATTAGTCTCAAGTGCTTTATCCCTTTATCCCTCTACTTTTTGGGGACCTGAATGCTACCTAGTGACTTTCAATATCCCATGTATTCTCATTTTTAACAAAGCAAGCTACAGCATGGTGGTTTTAGGTTGCACAAGAAACACGGTCTTGGCGCCAGCTCACCACTCCTAATAGAGTTTAGCGATTTGGTTTACACATAAAGAGAGATCGAGCAGAAACTTTATACGTTGTAAGCGATCTCTGACCATCACACATTACGTATCTCTAAAATGCCAAATATTTTTATATTAAATGCTATATTTATTTTAAAAGTGCTACTGAGGAGTTTTTGAGGACGTAACATGAGCCTGTTCAGCGCACTTAAACCTGAAAAACGGCTTTAAATATGTTGCAACAGTGCTATCCGTGGAAGAGTGTTCTCCATAAGTGCGCGCTTTGTATGTGATCCATGATAAGTAAGGTAATAAATCAGCTCCCTTATCAATTGGCTCTAGATACAACTTTGTGTTAGAGGCGCTTTTGTGCAGGTTGGACTTAAGGTCCAAATAGAAGCCACTTTGTCTTAGTCTTCTCTGTGATGAATTTAATATGCTTTTATTTATTCAGCAGCTCAAAACATTGATACATATCCTGTCGAGCAGTAACCGCTCAAAACGAAATAATCTTATAAGGATATGATTTCATTATGAAAGCGCAAGCTCGACTGCCGGTCACTACAATGTCAAGTAATACCATCATCCGACTTGGGGTGATTATTTTTTACTCGGCGTCGATTCCTTGAGAGGATTATTTAGCCTCAAGGGATCCACGGAACCGAGGGAGGGTGCTCCTGACGAGTCCCAATAGGACGAAATAGGCGCCGATATAACATATATATATATATATATATATAATATATATATATATATATCCATATACATATATGGTTCTTTTCCATCATACTTCAACAAATAAAGAAACGATCTCTTTCGCTGAACAAAGGCTCTCCATTACACTCTTAGTAATCATTTGAAAGCTTTATTTCCTCGTTACTGAGTTAATTAATCATTTTTTTTGAAAAGACTTCAATAACGCTGTAGCAGAAAAAACGGTTGAATTTCGTTTGTTAGCACAGATTTTCAAGCGAATCTCCTAGGTGGAAAAGAAATTCACATAAAGAGTGCTAATTGTCATTCGAAAGCTTACATTTCGAACTATCCGCATATGTAGCCGCTGTTTCAAAAAAGCCCTTTTATGACGCTGAAAAGTTCAAAACAAGATTATGTTCCACAAGCGCATATTTCTCGGCGAACAGTGCTCTGTTAAACTGTTTGTACTCATTCGATAGCGTAAGATTTACTAATTCCAACACTGTACTTATATCCTGGAGATACCGTTTCTCTGCAATGCAGCAGGTAAACTAAGATTGATTCAAATGCGCAGGCAAGTGGTTATTGACCAATTCAAGGGCCGCTGAACGAGGCAGCAAGGTGGGCTGACGCAACGATTGATCGATTTTCAAGCATATGAACGCATAGTGAAAATCTCGTAGTATCTGAATTTCTTGGACTCCTTGTTGGAAGCAATCAAGGCGTTCTGGCATTGCGAATTCCATAGAAAAGCTTATAATGATTATTCATTTATCCATATTCTTGCAAAATAGGATTATTCGAAATCGTTTTTTATAGCAGACTCATGCGTCTTATTTGAAGTTTTTCTTTCAAAATAAAGAAACAGTTCTTGCTCGATTAACAAAAATCGTACTCTCATTAAACCGCTAGAAAATGAATCTACTGTCACATCAGCCCACCTTACGGCCGACCCCGCTGCCCTTGAAATGGCCAAGGACCACTTACTCGCGCATGCGAATTCAACCTTATTTGCCCTGCTGCATTACAGAGAAACAGCATTCTTAGAAAATAAGCATAGCGTTGGAATCACTGAAACTTACGCTATCGAATGATTATTGATATTCCATGAAAAGAGCTCTGTCCGGAAAGAAATATGCGCGTATGAAACACAAATTCGTCTTGAATTTTGCAGAGTTACGAAAGTGTGCTTTGAAAAACCGTTTATTTAAACCTCAAATAGAGATTTCAGCTTTTGGATGATTCCTTACATTCCTATGAAAAGTTCCCGTCCAGCGAATGAGGTTGAATATTCATTTGTCCTTTGTCCCTTATAATCGAGAAGTTTTACGTTTCGGACTCAAGGTTTCTATCGGACAGAAAAGTTGAATAAGCGCGAAAAACATATGACCATATAGAGAGAATCATGGCGCATCGGAGTAACACAAAAGCCTACGCTTATATTTTCCCAATAGAGGACAAATCTCAATTAAATAACGAAAATCGCGCGCCTGTTACACGTTGCGCTGTGCGATCGACCAAAAATCAAGCAAGTATAGGCAAGCTGTATGCCAGAATGCTCGCAAAAAAATGAACATTTGAACAAAACCAAAACCTTGCAATTTTGATCACTTCTGGTTGATAAATTTGGTGCTTTTATTGCTCAGCTCAAAAACTTATAGAACGACCTGATAATTTGTAGAAGAAATGATAACAACAACAAAGCAGTAATAGTGATACATTTTTTTCTTCATGATATGGTCTAAGTCAACAATGTAAACCAGAAGTAAAACCCTGGATGCAGGAATAGCACTTCAATCTTTCTTCTAATTAGTTGCATTAATTGATCCTTAGTAGAACGATTGTAAACATTTTTTTTTTCCTTTTCATATCATAGAAAATATGCTTCGTATTCTTTTCACAACAGTGTCACAAGAAACAATTAACCACATCAAACTGGAAAGTGGCAGAATTGGATAGTTCAGGAAGTTCCGGAAACCCTGCATCTATATGGAATAACAAAAGTACAATAAGCAATCAAGACTAGTAAACATCAATTTTCAGCAAAACAAAGAAAAATTACCCTGACCATATCGCCGGAAACGTTTTCTTAGAATGCTTTTTTGTATACAGCTGCAGTACTGGGAATACTCTAATTTCAGTAAAATGACAGTTTCAAAAATATCCTTTCAAGAAGACGACTTTCGTCAATCTAGTATTCCTAAACCACCCATAATTAATCAAACGCACTACCAGATTTTCTCAGAAATACGAAAATTACTCTACAATATGCATTTAGATAGAATAGGAAAACTGCGGAAAGATTAAGAAAAACGGTTCTGACAGAGAATCCTTGGAAAATTCATAGAGTCTAGGCAGTGATCTTCTGTTTTAGCTTCTCGATGTCTGACATCAACATATCTTTCGCCACCTCATCATCTTTATACTTGAGGCACTGCACCACCAGTCGTTGACATGACACCAGAAGATCGAAAGTGGACTAAACAGAATGAAACGTGAATCGATTTCAAAAGACGATCAGTATTCATCTATTAGATAAATAACGTTAGATGTGGCACTTAGTACAATTATGTTAACAACGCACTTTAAAGAACACAAAAAGCAAAGAGGACACCACTAGATGAACTCCTCCCTAATTTCGGCTTGTATATGTGCCATCGTGCAATATGGGGTTGGCAAGAAAATTTCCAGATGTTTCCGCTTTTGTTGATTATCTCTAATGCATTCAAGCTTTCGTTTTTACTAACGTTTGAAGCAGCTTCTTGCGCTTACTTTGATATATAACAACTAAACAATTGCTCTAAGATGGAACTGTAGCGAGAGCACAAATGACTTTTAATGCTAGACGAATATCGTTTGGCTTCAAGTATTGCTTTCGTATGCAACGATACCATGTAGCATCAACAATCGTTTTGCTCTTGGGGCAATCCATCCTGGAGCAAATGTAATAGTGTTATATATCAAAATAACCGTAAGAAGCCGCTCGAGACGATAATAAAAACAGAAACACAAATGAATAGAGAATATTCAACAAGTATAAAAAGCTCCAGAAATTTCTTGCCAACTCAATAAATAAAAATCATTGTCATTACCACAACAAAAGTCCTAAGAAAAAGAAAACCTTGTAAAAGAGATCGTGAAATTTGCTGAGATAGCAAAAGTGTATAAATTGCTATAACCGCAGAAACAGTGATTGCATGAAATCTGGTATGGTATATCTAATCTCATGTATGGCACACGGCGCCGAAGATATTGGCGAAACGAGTAAACCACTCTATGTCCATAAAAAGGAGCACCTAGTTGGAAAACACAAAGTCAAGCAATACTTTTC